ATTGTGAATATTAAACATAACCTTACGCGCACGCGGAGGCACACGCCTTTGTTTAATGATCGCGATTCGACCTCCTGAAAGTACGTCACGTTTCGCATCAGGAAGACTGATGCGCGCTTACTCGTCGGAACGCGGGATCGTGACGAAGTGGCAGCGCGATTGTAAAATTTAAATCGCGCGAAACGCTACCGCGCACACACGCGAGTCACGTATTGTCGGCGGGGAAAACGCGCTCGCTCGAGCGAGTGTATCTGTGGGTTATCGAGTTACCCGGCCTCTCCGTGACACCTACACGAAGACGCGGTGACCGATTCCGGCTCACCTTGACGACGGCAGGTAAATAGCGATTTTACAGCTTACGAAAGGGTATACGCGTGTACCCTTTTGAAAAAGCGACACGCGCGCAAACACGAGTGTCGCGTTACACTCGTGGGTTCACGTGTCAACTGTTGCGTCTATCAAAGCGCTCACGAATTCTCCGTTTCGAGGGAACGAGGCGCGCTCGAGACTCGCGATTAATCTACGTCTCCGACCCGGTTCCGCGATAATCCTGTGCAACATAACAGCGACCGTGAAACCGCTTCTGCACAATCAATCACGCGTACGTGTGCGTATGATTTTGTCGAGAGTTACGCGTCGAAAAATCGCGGAAAAGTGCCCACGCGCCGGCACCATTTTTGTCGATAACGTGATGCATCTTCTAATTGTGCGGCGGTGGCGGCGATGATGATCATCGTGAGTGTAATGGATTTGCATTTGCCAACTGCGTCATAAGTACGGCGTTATCTAACGTCGCGCGAGAATGGGCATTAGAATTTCGAGTGTAGGTGTTCGGAGGACGCGCCAGATTGTCGCGCGGTGTGGCCGTTGCGGTTTACCAGCGAACTTCAGTCGTAGGTAGCGGAATCCTATTCTCTGGTCAATTTATAATCGTTAACACCTCAGCAACTATTTGATTTGGGAATTTACGGATCATTTGATTTATCATGGAGATCTAGCGTAAGAAATATAAGTCCCCTTGAATATTTTATAATTGCCAGATTTATGTGAAAAATGTGTGATTTTTCCTATTAAATATTTTGTCTCGTAAAAAGTCACTAATTAAGAAGGAAATAAAAGAAACGTCATGTGAAAAAAATATCAATTTGATGTTATTTACTTTAATCATTATTAATCATAAAAATAATCAATCCTTAGAAGTCGAGCGACTTTTTTTAACGGCTTCAACAGAGTTTCCGAAATGCAAAAGTTTCAATTATTTGCATATTATTCTATGTAATGTATTAGAAGAAATGAAACATCAATATACAATCTATAAATAGACTTCTCAAAGCTAATGCTCCCGAACCGCGCAATTTCGTTCTCAATTTTATTCAACGAATACGGGAATATTTTCCCGTCTAATGTAATAAATGAAGATAATATACGAAGCGAGATATCGTAGAAAATTTTCATCGGAGAGAAACTGGCTGCGGTTGTGGACTTCATTAAGTCGAGCATCAAGCATACACAACGGTCTGTCATCGCATTCACGATGCGACGATCCGAGACTCGCGTGCGCGCGCGCGGAATGTAGAACGCGAATGAATATTATCTAGGTATGTCAATGTGCATTTTCATGAACCGATCCGCGATTCGTTAAGTCGATCGCACAAAGGCAAACGAATGAAACAAAAGAGCTGGTAAGAGCGGCGCAAGATCGCCGACGCACTTACAAGGGCGCGACGTTTCAATTTTCGTTATAGCCGTAATTTCCGACGGTATAATGTATCGCGCTGCGTGAACAAACAAAAGGACATAATCGCGACATAAATGACAAATAAGCGGCCGGGGAAACGGTGAGATCGCCTAACACACCGCATCAGTATCGCGTATGTGAGAATCGCGACAAGAATCGACTCGAGAAGTTTAGGAAGTCAACTGATGCAGCGGGAAGTATGAAATGCGTCGTCTGCGACTACGGTTACCCGCACCCAGCCTGACGTCATGACACTTCCGCGAAATTATTGTGTTACATAATGTGTATCGTATGTTATTAATATCGAAGCCGCTGATTCTAGATCAGCGATATTTTTTGCCGAGAAGATAAACTTCGGATAACAGCTTTCGATCTCTGTTACTCAACATGCTTTCACTTCGACTTCGTGTCTTCGACAATTAGTAACAGTAATTCACGTCACGATAAGTATACGAAAGTTAGATTGATTTCAGCCTTCTTATCTTTCCTACGAGTTTTTATAATAACGTTTAGCTCCCATATCCCCCGACTATCTGCAATAAAACTTATATAATAATACGGAAAGATTTGTTGTGCCAATTGAAAGTTGAAGCTATCGAAACTGTAAATAACGGATGGATCAGCTCTTCGTATGAATTCTCTTATCGTACTCTGTATAGCAGGGAGTTTCCTGGATTAAGTAAATACGAGATATATAATATGACGGTGAGAGTGAGGTAAGATAAAAAGGAAGCACCTCTGCGATAAGTGAAGGTCGATTGCAGGATTATCGTTGTTATTTAACATCGTCCCTCTTGAAAAATATAGATTTGCGTAAACGAATTCGCGATTTTTGCAATTGAATTTTACATTCATCGAATCACTTGCCCACTTGCCACTTCTGTTCGCGGTAAACGAGCCGTTATCCGGCTCTTTTTCCCGTCGACTGCGACACTTCCGCCGTAGGGGACAAAAAGGCAATTGACATGCAAATCTTCGACTGACATCGCGCTGAACGCCATTGTTGCACCAGTCGAATACGAATGTTTCACCGCGGAAGTTAGTAATTTCGCGTTACATGTGGATATTGCCCAACTACCGCATAGGAATTGTCGAAGAAGAAGGATATCACGCGATAAAATGTGCTGTGAAATCCCGAAAACTTAATTGGCCGGTTAGTTCGAAGAATTCATAAGAGCACTTCACATGAAAATATACTTTAGGGAAATAAACGAAAAAAAAAACAGAATATTGTGATGTAGAAAACATGAAATATTACAAGGATTTAGGAACGTAAATTTCAAATCAAAACAGTACATCGTACCAGTTCGAGCGACGAGAGAAAGAGAAATGCAGCACACATGAAAATAAAATCATCCATACTTATCCATTAATTCAAACAATTTGTAATAGCGCTCCATACGAGAAATGGGAAAAATAGAACATTACGAAGAGTCTTTGTTCGAAGGAATACGATTCGTCAAGTTGAACAAAAGGGCTTACGAGAAATGATCTCCCAGTTAATTGGCAATTGAGGTAATTACGGCCTTTAACTGACAATTTCACGATAATCATGACTAATCAATGACGAAGAGAATTAAGCCGATAGCAGATCTAATCGACGAAGATAAAGAAGCAGCATACCTTTTACGAAGGATTAAATTCACGAGATGACTCACACGAAGATAGTAAATTTTGTGAAACAAAGATTTTGTTTTAATGGCGCATGTTTTTCGGAAGTAAGTGTTCTGTCAAAAATCGGTAAGATAAGATAAATCACGGACTTGAATTTTTATCTCTCGGTATAAACCAGGTGTATACCGTGTATACCGTTTCGATATCATCCTTAAAAATAAAAATAAAAATAAATACTAACTAAATAAAAAAATAAAAAATAAAAAAAATAATAACTACACTGAAAAAAGGATTTGGTAATAAGTACTAAAATTTGGTGAACATTTGCTCAAACATTTGATTACTGCAACCTTTACGTAGAACGACGAGATTTTTTAAATAAAATGATAATAATTATCTAGAACAATTTTCTTTACGGACTATATGTTTAATAATAATTACAAAATATATCTTATTTTCTGCTATCAAGATTTAGTATGGTTTTCACACGGCGCGCACGTACCCTCTTAAATTTATCGGCGCATTCATCATTTATACAGCGAACATTATCTGGTGTCTGGCGTAATAATGGCGCAGTAACAAACTCACCATTTCTTATAAATTACACCGGAAACGACACAGAGAGACATACACAGATCGATTTTACGCGTTCCCGGTATCTCGATTGATTCGCGGAAAATGCGGGAAAGCCGGTTTCTCTAAGGCGAATTACAGGTAACACTTTGAACAGGTTATGGTTTTACGACGGAAATACGGAAATGCGAGTAGAAAGCGCACGTTCGCAAATCGTATATGATATTGGCAAGTTATCGTGCAATTTTTTTAACAACGGAGCAGTGTGGTATATCATCATAGATATGATAATAAAATAATCATAAGACACGGAGTAAATGTACCAATGTCTCGCGATTTGCTGCGCTTATTGCACGGTAATAAGCTGTTCGATGATAAATTATCGTATTGAATAATCGGACGCAACTGATATCGTCACATGTTACGTCGATCAAAAAGTTCAGTTCGATTTCCGAGATAAATTTGATCGCATCCAATAGGAACAAATTATTCATCAACCACATAATCATTGTCGTTATCCTTGGCCGGTGTTCTGGCTTCAGAATATTGTTAACATTGTTGCTTAAATTACATTATGTGACGTCATTTATTACAAATCAAACTGGACCTTTCGACTGATCTGATAAATCCCGAGTCGAAATTTTGATGCTACTCTGACGCTCTAAGGATAGTTGGCGTCTACTTAGATGACTTATAGACTAATAAAAATCTATTTTGACGATATTGATATCTTCTAATTTTTCTCTTGAATCTTTAATTCTACAGATTGAATTTTAATGCTATCTTCAATAATCTATTTCGGCGCTAAAACAGCGAAAACGGAAATTTAAGACATCATTAAGGTCAAAGAGGGATTATATTATATTATTAGAATTGAAATTGTGTGCGAATCTATTTTGTTATTTTAGCTCCTGTTATGTTACAGAATTAAAGAATTAATTTAACATAAGGCCAAAATTTCGATTTGGAATGTATCTTACGGTTTTAGAAATGAAAGTAGTGGGAGATTCGTACATGCAAAAAATACACGGTGATGTCAAAGGTAACATGATGCAACATCTAACAATTGACTCACCTTCGGCTTGATAACATCGTAATGTCCTTCCGGTACCCTCGAATCATAAATACCGCCTGGCACCGAGTTTTGCCTTCTGTAACGAATAAAATGTACAATCAATTAGCAATCGAAATTATCAGTATCGTTAGATCAAGTGTTTCTTACTAAATTGATTTCACAGGCAAAGTGTTAGAATATTAGAACGTTAACAACACAAATGCACAAAATGCACAGGTGCAAGCGATAAAACAGTGAATGTTGATTTACTAATCGTTAGTTTGACAGATACGATCTATAAACGGAATAGCTTGAAAAGAAAGGAAATGTAATGTCGAGACAGCCGGAAGGAAAGCGATTCTCCGACGGTGAGCATTACCGATATCAAATTACCGGTATTAAATAACGCAATGCCTCTGACAGAGCCATAAATTTTCGCGTACGCCTTGCAGCGGGACTGTCACGATTTTTTTTTAGCGTACAGCATGAGAACTTACGCGACGGGATCGGATCCATTGATCGTGGGCTTCGGCGACTGGATTCCAGACCGGACAGGTGTATTCGTATGAACGGGCGAAGGTCCTTTGCTTCCCAAAGGTTGCTTTATCCTGCGAACACCAAGAGCGGAAGGAGATGATAACTCTTTATATCCCTCGAGCAGCAATCAGGTTTCGTCACACAACACCATAAATTCTCACAAAAGTACAGGTATTTATGGCTGGAACTGTTACGAGCGTCTGTCGCTTATTTTAATCTCCATTTTCTGCCGCCAATACGTATACCGTTCTAGGCAACAATGTCATAAACGGTGTTAAGTCGACCCGCGTAAATCCAGTCAATGATCACATGTTACATGCGATGACTGTATAACAAAAATTACTGGGCAATAACTGTGTGTAATAATTTGTAACAGAGATTTGATGATCCCGAGAAGCGGAAAGATAAGAAGTCGAAAACTTGTGTCTCTCGGGAGAAGCCAAGTTTTACGAGTGACTTTTTCAATAAATAAATGCAAGCAAAATTTATGAAAAAAAAAGCGTGTAAAATATTATGAATCTCCTCTTGATGCATTTTTATTTTATATAATTTTACTAACAGAAATTATTCGTGTAATAACAGCGCGACACGGAATAAATGCTTTTATTATAACGCAGAATTACTCCATTATGCTATTAATCTTCAGATAATCATATTTAAAATGATCTTAAAAACTTTACTTACACAATAAAAAATGTTGTATTAAAGACTGTCCGTCAAAATGTTGTGTTACTCTAACATGGAGAATTTAACATGGGGAATGAGTTAAAAATTACACAAATATAAGTCACAAATATAAATAACATCAAATTAGCACATTACCCATGTTAAAATAAAACAACATTTCAGTGAACCGTTTTTAACACCAAATTTTTTACCGTGTGCTAATTATTCTATAATTATAATTTCAAAGTTTACTCACACATAATTATATAAGCAACCACTTGCAATCATATCGGAACTAGGAAATTATTTTTTTGCTTTCAAGTACATACAAGATTCTATCCGGTGAAATAATCATCGATAATTCACTATATTCTGTCCACGATGCGAAGCGTCTATTCTTTTCCACTTTTAAAGAACGAGCCTGGGAATTAGCCGTGACCGCGATTTTCAAGCTCAAACGAAGAAGAAGTCGGAGAAGTCGCGCGAGACCACCCGATCCCGGTCATTTTTCAAGCGAGATGCGATTTATCGGAATCCGTTGTCGCTCTCAGAGTTTCAACACAACGGAGAAACGAGACATCTTGACCTTCTCGAATTTATCCTCGCGCCTTTCCTATGATGCGTGTATGACAGACTAGGTACCATTTCTTAAACGACACCGTGCGCATAAGCAGCGTGTGAACCAGTCAGGCGCATTATTCATTTCGCCTGAAACTCGACAGTGGAAAGTCAACGCAACGATTAATTTCCTCGAAATCTCACACTTCCCGCGTTACAGACTGATGGAAACATCGACCTCGTTCGAAAGCGAGCCACTTTTTCGCTCATATGATAGCGTTTCATCGCGAATTTCGCAAAACAATTATCGATTTTCCATCTTTCACCGTGTTATTTACGGGGAATTTTGCGATGCATTAGCAGCCAATGGGAGAATTGATTTTCTTGCTAATTTTCAGCGAATAAAGAACCCCACAGAATACTTGTGGAAAATGGCGTTCGGCTAAATTTTCTGAGACTGTGCTATATGATGGTTCTTATTGTGTAGATCAAAAGTGTCAATGGCCGCAAAGTCTGAAAAATTATAGTTTGTGAGTCACATTTTCCGTAAGGATTCTGCGGCGCCCTTTTCCTATTGGATAACCGGATGCACCCTGAACCTCATCGTGATAAAAAAAGTGTTGCAGTTTTTCTCTGCCATCGACTACACATGTACGGACAATTTACCGACGTTTTCTGAATCGCTAAAACAATCTCAAGCCGATCGGGCGCGCGACTTCTCAGTTTTCGTTACCGTTATATAAAATCGCGCTGCATCACGGTGCGTGCTGCGTTCTCAATCGAGGTAACGTTTCCCGATGCGACATGAGCTTCCGATGCAGCGCCACGAGCACGCTCGCGTCTTCAAGATGCTGCGATTGCATCACATTCTCGAAACGCGAAAATCACGGTTATACTAATTAATATGAGAGTATTAACGAGAGACGTCCATTTAATTATTCGCCGATACTGACTTAACATTTATATCCGAGTTATTATAACTCGTTGTTACTACGTCGTTATATTACAAGGTCGCTCGACAGTGGAAACTTGGTATTTTGTAATTTCCATTATCGTAAGTAGTACAAGCGCTACTTGGTCAGTCGTATACGACTCTTCTCCGAGAGAAGAGTATTTTTAAATTTACGTAAAAATAGGTTACAATCGAGACGATCACTCGGCGTTCCCTGTGCGCGGCATTAAAAGCTAAACTGAGTGATCCTTGACTCTTTATTAAGAGTCGTCGCTCATTAGATATTAGTAATCGATAACGGTTGGCTCTGTCAGGAGGCGACAAATGTCAGCGAGTGGTCAAACGAGCGGTATTTACCGGCTTATGCACGGCGGTGTGGAACCGACGCTCCTAAGGCTGCACGTGCTGCTGTGACTATTCTGTTTGTTGTAAGTCGGCCGATTGCTGGCGGGCTGCACGCTGATCCGCTCGGCGATGCGGAATCGCGGCGTCGTCGGCTTGTGGTAAATCATGTTCCCCGTCGTCCTGACTGCGCGTTCTCACATTCTCGTCGCCACGAGCGATTCGCCTCGAGCGCGCGCAAACGATTGCGAAAACGACGGCCCTCTCGAAGAGGTCGCCGACACGCACGAATCGGAACGCACTCCGGACGCGAATCACGGCGCAATTTAACCGGCGACTTGACCGCCCGGGAAGCCGCAGAATTCGCGCTCGTTTTGTTGCGCCCGAGATTGGCGCGCGGTATGTCGCCCGCGTAGTTGCAACTGCACACGGTACCGATACTGCCGACGAGGAGGCCCGACGTGGAGTATCGAGGGGGCAAGAGCACCACGACGAGCGCCGGCAGCGGCGGCGGCGGTGGAGGAGGTGACGGTGGTGGCGGCGGTTACGATTCGCCTGGCAGCGGCATTAGGCTCGACTGAGCCTGTCGGCTCCGAGTCCGCTCGTAATAACAAAGCGTATCGCGAAGCCTATCAGAGGCTGCTTTGATTCCCGGCCGGCTCCCTCCGGCCGCCAACATCCGCGCCGATCAGCTGTCGAGCGCGCGCGCACAGCCGCGATGCACCGAGATGCAATTCTCGGTGACGGCCGTTCGCGGATCTTTCCGTTCCCGAGCGAATCGATTGTATGGAAATTCGAATCGCCTCGAGGATCACATGAACACCGAAAGTCCTCCGAAGCCATGGAGAATCTCCCGCAAGCCTCTCGAGTGCCTTGAATATCTACTTTATATCGGCGATAAATGATGGTAAATTGCGCACACAGAGAAAAATCAGTAGCAAATCAAGACTCGTGTTTTTATATATAAGAATACGCAATTCTATACGATGATGAAATTTGCTTACATGAAGGAATTCCGTATAGCTCCACTAAAAACGTCATATTTTTGTTATACAAGATACTATAAGGAACATTTTGTTATACAAGTTGTACGAAAAATATCATATTCTTGTTATGCAAGAATAATTTTCATGAATTGAGAGGAAAAAGTATTGGGTAGAAAGAACGATATTTTCGAACTGATATAATTTCTAGTTTAAAAATATCATTCTTTCTATGCAATATTCCTTTCCTTTCCTTTCCTTTAACATAGATCGAGAGTTCAACCGTTTTATTTCATTCAATTTAAAAGACTAAAAATCTTGTATGAATATTATAATATTCTTGCTTATGTATGAAAATATCTGTCATTGATTTCAGACTATTTTTTTCTGTGTATAGGCGTATATGTAGATTACGTTGTCGTCATCCGCGAGACTTGGAAAACAATCGAAGCCTTTCGCTGCATTCGAGACCTTCGAGACTCGAGAATCTCTGCCTACGGATAACGTAATAAAAAGTGAATCGAGGTTTTCGTCGTGCCTGCCACGTATCGTCGTATACACTTATGTATAAATAAAGTGATTCGACATATTTTGTATCCATCGCACTAGCCGGCTGCTCCGAGATATCTCGCACGGAGTGTAGAAAGTTTTACGAGTACTTAGGAAGCTCTCGGATGCGCGTAGATAAGGAGGATAAGGCGCCCATCGACGGGAAAAACGCGGTCTGCTCTTAACGGAGTGCACAGCGTGTCGACATCTCCCGCTCTCCTTCGTGGCGATGAATTTTGATAAATAGAAAGTCCTCAGGGGCAGAATTGCGCAGTGAGCGATTAGATGGACGGAAATATTGTGACGTAGGAAGTGTTACGGTTAGATAATAAGGTCGCGCAGGAAATTCCGTTCACTCACGCGTCTCGCGGTCGTTTCTTTCTGGCAAAGATAAATGCAATAAATAACGGAAGGCATTAGTTGCAATTATGTGTACCGGCGAACAGGACTGTTTCAGAGCTCGTTTGATCAACATATCTTAAAAGACGTCATATTTGCAAAATAACAATAATATCGAACCGTTATTTCCCCGGTATAATTCGACCAATCTGTGCACTTGAATGGCATGTGGGTCGCGAAAATGCGTCAGAATATTTTTGCTCAATGATGATTCTGAAGTTTCTAAATTTACAATCCCGAGAGAAAGTGTTAACACATTTATAAAAGCCAACGCAAAGGACAATCGTTTTGCGAGCACAATTATTCAATTGTTACCTTCAACAGTTAGAACCATTTTTATTTGTTATCTTAAATAAATATTTAAAAAATTTATTTTCTTGATGAGGTAATAATTGAATAATTATTCTCGCAACGATCATTCCGCGTTGGCCCTCATAGATCTCTTATGTGACTGAAAATTTTTACATAAAATGTGTGAATACAGGATGCATGAAGAAAAGCGATCAGCCGTTGTAACACGGATCTTGATTAAATGACTAATAAGTGGAAAAGAAGAATTAGCTGCCATAGCTAAAAATTAGCTCCCGCAGATAAAAATTAACTGTCCATATAATACAGCTGAAATTTAGTTAAATTAGCTAACTTTTTTCCTCTCTGTACCTAATTTTTAGCTGCCACAGGGAAAAACTAGGTCTGGTAACTGAATCTCAGTTGTATTGTTACATCGACAACGAATTCCTTTTTTCCGTGAAAGCAATAATGTGCGATAATATTCCAATGAAGAGAATTGCGTTCGGACGTAACAGAGATCAACCACGGCATTGATATTTTCGGCATACCGAGATACCGCAGCCGAATTAAACAACTTTCGTGCGCGAAGGAGCACGGAGCGCGCGATGAGATCGCTTTCGGGGGAATCGCAGGAGAAACATCTGGCAGATGTTCCGCGTCGAGAGACAGAAGCTGCGAGGCGCAGTTATTTCGCGCGGTCGGAATGATACACGAGAAATACGCGCGAGGTTATACTCAATTTCACAACAGCTTGCACGTATCGCCACACTTTCTGCCTTACAACCTCCGACAACGAATTTCTATGGGTTTTCCAATCGGCGTTCAACCGACTTGCCGGCGCGGCAAGGGAATTCTCCGTTCTGCTTTCTTAAATCGCGCCCCGTGTATCAAACCTAACATCGCCGCTGCCGATAATTATTACAAACACCTGACACACGGCGTTGATGTATTAAATAATTCCACCGCAACGTTCACGCGCCTTTCCTCTTCGCTTTGCTTCACGGTCCTCCCCGTATTCGCCGCGATCGGCGAAACTTTCACGAGCGACTCCGTTTCGGAGCGCAGCTGCGGCGCGCGCGTACACGGATACGGAATTTGTATTAATGACGCGATTGCGCCATTAGCGCGGATATATTAGCGACGCATTATTATCCGTGCACCTGCACCGAGAAAAAAATGAGAGATCAGCGAATGCGCTCCCTCGAAGAGAATCGAGCACCTTCCCGACCGAGAAGATAATAGAGACCCTTTTGTACGTCAGCGTGGTGAATTTCGAGCCGTGAAATCGCTATTATCTCAACAATCTCGCGAAGACTAGCGAATGAGCGCATTTTTCTGTGATCTTATAATAGCTATCCGCCTCTCATTGCGTCGGGTCGGGAGGGCGTCACGTTGTGCTGTTTATTCCGAGTTTCCTGTCAATCATACATTTCAGTTACGCCACTCAATCTTACTTATAATTGTCTTGAATACATTCTATCCCGCGGATGCGTGATTGTTATCAGGGTGCAATTATGCATTCACTTAACTGATTTTTCTTAACCACTCCCGGACATTTGCATAATAACTAAACCCGATATGGAGTGCAATTACTTCACGCGCTTATCTTACTCGTATTTTTACCGCACGTGTGGAGCGTTTAATATTAACGAAGCAATTTAATTCGAGGAGGAGAGAGAGAGAGAGAGAGGTCATTTCGCGATTACTTCGTATTCCCCGACGGTGTTTCAACAAAGCTTCGTTTGTTACCAATGACGATCGTTCGCGTGTTCTAATTACGCGCTGCATCTCGCCGTATATGAACAAGTAGGTGGCTGCATTACTACGAACGAACAGCGCCGAGTCCCCGATGTCAAGAGAATCTGAAGTTCCATCTTTGGTATCAACACGTTGTCCGTTCGGTCGAGTCAAGGCCGTGGCGGCGGCGGACTCCTCTCTTGATCATTATGGAATTTGGACGTTACATATTCGTGAACAATCGACAGTAAAAGTGGTAACGCTTGGTCGCAAATGCAGTCATATTAATGAAAACAAAATATTTTAATATCCCGCATACATAACCGATTATTATTACATACTATCTGAATGATAAATAATTAATTTTGTATATAATGTTTTTGTACATATTTTTTATTGATATTGCATATTTTTTAATATGTAAAAATTTTGATACATAAAAAAATATTTATCGGGGAAATTGTATTTGTATTTTCATTCCAACATTTGCGAATTTTGATTTCACAGCTATACTCACGAACACACACACAAGTATTTATATTTTTGAAATTTTATTTACCGAAAGCTGTTTTTTTTTAATTTATATCTTTAAGTTTCTCTACATTTTATGTATTTTTTTATTTTCTCGGATAAATAAACGGATTTTCGAAATTTATTTAAACAAATTTAATAATAAACAATAACGCGTGCTGATTGGTATAATAATTTTAAATGTTTAAAAACTTTGATCGGGCGTGCATATATATAGAGGAACTGGCATCCCCATTAAATCTAGCAAATCATCAAGAATAACTACGTTTGTTGAACTCGACGAAGGATCAAGGGTTCTCGTTTGGTCTCTATCTCATCGGCCACGAAAAGCACGACTCGCCGTCTAAATACGCCATATTTCGCCACTAACGAACTGCCAGACACTCGAAGCTCCTTTGGACCGAGTTAATTTCTCGACTCATTCCTCGAAAGCGTCGACGTAACTGCTGACCAGTCTCGTTAGTACGTTCATGAAAACGTACATTGTTATCAGTAAAACCATTATTTAACTAGATACACTGAAATCGTTATTACTCAGGAAATATATTCCGTAATATGCTAATGTACTATAAATAAAGATAGGAACATTAACGTAGCAATTGATAGTATAATTTTGCTATTCGTATTTTTTTAATTTCAAATAGAAATCATAATAGCATTGTGATAAAAACAGTGTAATCATGTGATATAATACAAATAATACAAATAAATAATTAATCTAATTACACGACTATTTTCTATTTCAAATTCGTATATCATTATATATCGTATACCATTCCATATCATTACATATTATTTGTGAAATTTGTCACCACATATCGTAACTTTGCGTTGTTTAAAACGTGACATTTATCAGAAATTGAAATTTCTATTTCGCGTAAATATGGTTTGTGCGTATATTCAGTCGGAGAATAACATGCGAAATATGCGCATTCACAGTATTTTGCGAAATATAGTCACGCGCGTGATTGAAACAATGTGACCATAAATATGTATGGCGAAGTTATGCGCGTGAATCATGGAATGCGACGAGACCAACGACGGAACCGTGTGGCCACGATTTTGTCGCGACTGTACATACTAAATCTGACTGTACGTCCGGTATCCGGTTCCAGTACAATATCAGTATTCGATGCCAATGAACCGTGATCGATTTCCAGTTTCGATTGTGACGTCGATCATTCAGCGAATTAACGTTCGCTCGCTCTCTCGAAGGTTATCCTAATTACGAAACAACACAGATAATCAATAAACGTATACAACAATCGTTTCTTGCGCGTTATATATCAGCATAAAAAACGAATTTATATGTTTATTTAAAGTCTTAAGTTAAAACAAAGTAAGTCTTAAATTTTTAATCACACTAATTCTTTGTAAAAATTGCAAAATGTACTAAATTGCAAACTGTTACAAAAAATCCTTTATACTCAAAAAAAATTTTTCTGCTTGAAAAATTAGTGTTGACATTTGTAAGTAAAAAAATATTTTTCAGAATTTTTTTAGAATTTCTTTGGAATTAACAATAACATTTAATAAACTCTGAAACGTTTTGTAACAATTTATTTGATACGTTTGAAAAATTTACAAGCACTTACGAACCACAAGAAATTCGCAAAACTGAAATGATTTTCCCGTTCAAGGAAGAATGTCGAAGGTCAATGTCAGACGAGAAAAATAATCAAGTTTTCTTTTCCGTCGATTCTCGCCGGAGAGTACCGCTATTTCGATCGGCGCCACCTTGTTGTTCTAAGCTACTATTCTCGGCACACGTTTTACCATAATAAACTCGACAAAGGCATTCCGCTATCGCCATCTGTTGGAGAATGCAACGGGCTGCACCTCTTTGATTGAGTGCATTCGGTGCGGCAGAGTTATTTCATCGAAACAGACAACGCTGATTGTCTGTGGCAAGGTGTAAATTATGCGAACTGTACTTTAATGCAATTTGCATTGTGATAATTTTTCGCGGGAACATACTATTTCGAATACACTCCACAATTCTTCAAATACGCTGCATATTTTTTTAATATCTTACTATTTAAAAATATATTGATTGCCTTAGTAGTTGGTAAATCAAGATATAAAATTAAACAAATTATAAGGTGTTGCCAATATAAAATGTTGTGATTTTTTTTTCTACAACTATTTTCCGAATAAAAAATTAATTAAAAAATAGTATTCATACTATTTGTACCGTATTTTATTTTTTCGTGTTGCAACTGTAGCAATTTTTTTATCAGTTTAATAGTAAGAAATATCAAATTAAAAATTATACGAATGATCACTCACCCTTCTCCCTGCAGTCTATTATCGGCTACTTGCACGGGTAACGGTGCCGCTAGTTGTCTGACTAATTCGTCCCTCTCCCTTTCCTTCTGCTGAATAGTCTCTTGCAACCTCTGTTTCTGCTTCTGGTATTCCTTAAACAGACCACCATTGTAACTTTGTTCGAGGTGGTCTCCGGGCGCAGCCGCTCTAACTGGAATCGCAGTCGGTTCTGTAATTTTGGCCGCGACTCCCGTGGGCTTTTCCGCCAAAGAGTCTCTTCTCGAACTTCTAGCGGTCGAGGGCGCCGGCGACTCTCTCCCAGCCACTCTACGTTCTGGCGTGGATGTCGCTGAAGGGTCTATGTCAACACCTATTACGAAAATTGCGCGTCTTGAAATAATTTGGAGACACTTAAAGCATTAAATTTTGAAAGAAAAATTAGCAAAATAATTCTCATCGACGTGACATTAATGAAATTAAAGAAAGAATTAATTCAAACAAATTAAAATTAAAACTTTGTGATTGCATAGACCGTATCACTAAATATATATTGTATAATCAAAATAGCACAGGACAAAAAATCTCTAATTTCTTTCATACTCGTGAAATTTTTATAACATTCCTTTTCTCCCTTCGGTATATCACATACAATGGTTTGAAAGATTTAGAAATCTTTAAATCACACGACATAACGTAGTTTAAAAACTCACCTTCGGGGCTCTTGGAGTGCCCTCTCGTTCTCGGCGGGACCTTAGGTTGAGCATTCGTCGCGGTCTCTTGTATCGAGGGTAGCTGTTGGAACTCGGCATAATTCGAACTAAGGAAGACATCACCCTCATTTTCGAAGAGCCTGTCGACGCTGGTATTCATCAGTTTGTTATTCTTAAAGCCAGTCAAGTGGAAGCTGGCGAAGGACGACCTGGACATGGGGTTTATATCGCCGGTGGAGAGCGCCATCAGCGCCGCAGATGGTATGGTGGTGTTTTTAGGTCCAGGACTCCTCGGTCCGAGGCCAGCCTCTAAAGCTGGCACTAAACTGCGGGACATCATGTCCGCGGCCGATCTCGGCCTGGTGAACGGCATGGCGCTGTGCGGAAAAGTTTTCGGCTTGATCGGAGTTATCAGCATGTGCTCCGTCCACGAGGTCTCCAGGGAGGGCCTCTCGAGGCGTTCCACGTCGACGTTCAGGGTTCGTTGCGCGAACGGCACTGCGAACGTCTCGGGGGGTATGCTTTGAAGCCACGAGAGCAAACTCAAGTCGGAATCGCTGAAACCCACGGATCCGTCCAGTAACCTCGAAAAACTCATCTCTACCTGCAACACCAAGCAAGATGAATGTCACCGGATGTCATTAATAAATAATATATTAATAATATTGATATATTATAAATATTAATATTATTATATACATATAGTACATTATATAATTCGATAAATTGTGTTGTTTGTATTTATATTATTATATTATATTATATAACTAAATATGTGTAAGGAAAAAAGTGCAATCTTGTGAAATGTCTGAAAAATTGATCACGATAAAAATGATAAAAAATAAAGGACACAAACGATAAAATTACCTGTTCGCTCTCTTTCGACCCGGTAGCTTTCGCTTGGCAGTAATTAACGCAGGACTCGTACAAAATGCCTTTGATGATGAGTTGAATGAGCCGATCGTTCTTCGCCGAGGTGATCGGATGCGTGGGGTCAATGCCCTTCCTGTCACCCGGTAGGAATTTCTCCACCAAGGGATGTACTTCTCGGAAGCATTGCACCCTGGCGTTGCTCGGGTTCCAGTCCTTGTACTGCAGGTGATCCGTCAGTCGCGGCAGGGTGAGTAATAGGCATAGACTGCTGTATTCCTCCTTGGAGGGAGCGACCTTCTCAAGGTCGCTCAACACCTTGACGACCTCCTCCACGGCGTTGTCCACGCTGTTGTTCGTGCTAGCAGCGATAATATTCGCTTCGGACTTGATGCACAGCAGCTCGACATACTTGTGCCGCAAAATTGAGTACGTGAACTTCCTCATGTCGAAGTCCGGGAGCGCCTCCAGGGGCTGGATGAACTCCAACACGTCGTCCCATTGTCCGTCGAGGATCAACTGACGCAGGAAGAGCACGTCGTCGCTGTACTGACCGTTTATCACTCCGGTCTCGCGCTCCAGCGAAAGCTGCGAGATGTGGAGATCACGGCTGTGAAGGAACTCCAGGGTCAGTCGTACCACGTCCTCCTCGCGCAGCGTCAGATGCGCCGCCGGCATCACGTACCGAATACGCAACCTGTGCGAACCACAGAACAAATTGGCGAATTACGACTCCTGTCATTCTCCTGTCTGGATCGCAAGGGTTTGCGATTTACGAGATACTATATCTACGAAATTCCGCTCATCAGTCGATCAAGTTATTACCCGAGGGGCCCGGCGGGGAGGGCAGGTAAAGCACAGAGAAGTTACGGCGCGAGTATAAACTACGAGAACTTTGCAGACATTACTTGATTAATGTAATACATGTAACGATAACATAGTTAACAACAGCAATGCGTACCAGCTGAAACAACATCCGCCCAAATAGATCATAGGAATACATTAGTGCAAGTATTATAATTATTCGATGTAATGCATTACAGATTATGCGAACAGCTAGTACAGTAGTTTGGGAAATAATTAGATTATTATAATCCGTCTCTAAATACATAGAAAAGTAGTACCCTTTAAATTGCGACATTTTGTTGTGCATATTATGTGCATAAATTATTATTATTACTGTCATTATTCTTCTGATTCAGTAGCATACGAAAAAATGTTCAACAGGTATTCATATTTGTAACAACTGATTATCGTGAAATGTCTATAAGTTTTTACCCAGTTGTCTCGCCCGTTGTTTTCAATCTATTTTATAAATCCTTTACCAATCTTTACTAAATATAAACAACGCGGAAACGATATTTATATTCGGAGAATAGTTCGCGAGTGGAGGAAGTCTACGTCGGCATGTAACTACCTACTTACGCGTTAATCAGTGCACGTCTGCGGGTGCACTGGCCCCGAAACGCAACGGGCTCTTCATGAGGAAATGCATTTTCGTGCATTCCAAGCGTGCATATCGTTACTGGGTTTTACAATCGTGCGAATTTTTCTCTACAAATAAAAGTGTCCCTCGCGAATCGTCGAATAGAAACGCGACAATCTTTACGCTTCATTCGCCAACTGACCGGCAGATGAAACATTTACCGATGTTTCTCCGTTAATAAAACCTTGACGATATCACAACGTTAACATTACATAATTACGATATTACAACGTAATCGCATTGGCGGTAAAAAAATAATCAAGCGAAACCGAATACGCGAGTTGTATTTTCGATCGACGGACAAAACAACAGTCCAAGTCGACAATACGCTGCCGGAAACCTTGAATGGCTGTAACTCTGTATCCGTTGAAGAAACATTTGATGACAATTGGATTTTCGCTACGAACGGTTCCGCAATAGCCACATTGTGCCAGCTAGTCGAATCGCGAAGCACACGAAACTCGTAACGTCAGCGATTTTGACAAGTTAATTTGCCGCTTCGCAACGAACGACTTGTGTCAGTCTCGATCAAACCGTAGTAAGAGCACCAAGAAATCGCGATGTTCGCGTATCGAAGAATAGTAAGTGTGTAGTTTTATATAATATATATATTTCTAATGAATCTCTTTTTCTTATATTATTGTGAATAAATTCAATATTCAGAAAGGAGGAGGTTCAGAAAAGAGAAGGCCGTTTTTATGCCCCCTCCCGATTTCCATTAAACATTTTTTTTGTATTGTATGATGACTAGGAATGTCAAAAATAATCATGAGATAAAACTTAATCCATAAAGCCATAATTAATAGTCTAGATATGCCTATGATATCTAAGCCCTTTTCATGACTAATAAGTGAACTAATCATTAATTATGGCTTTATAGATCAAGTTTTTTTTCATCTAATAATCTAATTATTTTTGACACTCCTAATTATCATACAATACAAAAAAACTGTTTGAATGGAAGCCGGGAAGGGGCCTTATTGACCCTTCTCCTTTCTAAATGATTCAAATTAAACTGCCTGTTAAATTAGCATTTATAGAAAGTCTGTCTGCAAATTAATTAACGCGTAAAATAAAATCGTACGATTCTGATATTATTCTTATTCTATATTATTTTTTATATATTTCAATGGTTGTCTGTAATGAATCCACAGATCCGTAAGCAACAATATCGGAATATGCGCGAGTAATTTTAGGATTGCGTTTCCATTATCGAGCACATCCATTCGAGAATAATTTGCATAGAGTTTGCTTAATCATTTCAGCTTCTAGCAGCGACAATTTCGTCAGTGAGTGTCGTACTCGCCGACGTTCTCGTCCAGCCTGGTTACCATTATGATAATAATCGACACAATCCGCCATATCAGCCTGCTGTTTCACAACACCAGCCGTTGCTCCCGACTGAACGATACTATACAAAACAACCAGCGGACCAGCAATCAATGCAACATTTAAAGGGAATTCAAATAATTTACCCTTATTGGAGGTACTACGACTACGATCAGCCACATTTCGTGGGTCATCCCGTATATCGTCGCAACTACCCCGTATTACCGCATCGTTTGCATTTCACGAAAATAGGAGGCAGAAAATATATCCGGCCCTCGATATTCGTCGGCTACCCGCAGCCCATGGTGAATATTTATCTACTTATTCATGTAGATATTTTTCATTTGCCAAATCATTCGGTATATGAAAAGGAGAAACGATGTTAACTGCAATATTGCGAAAAAAGCTAAAATTAATAATTTGTTAAGATAATATATATTTTTATATTAAAAAACCAACTTTTTCCACGAATTTTTTTGAATTCTTTCACGGAAAATATTGAAAAGAAGCTGTTTTTCCCGAACCTTTAAAATTATATATATTTTGTTTGATATTTTGACGTTAACGCGATTCGTGTTGCGCCAATTTTACGCGACTTTCCACTTAGGTTATGTTTTAAGTACAACATTCCCTTAGATAGGACACCACCGATTTAGAAGATCCCTGGTACACGATGCCACAGTGGAGAAAGTCGGCAAATCAACGATCGTTAAACATGACGATGGTGTGGCCACGAAGCCGTCCCTAATGACCGCGAAATATCTTACGGCTATCGACTCACATCTTCAGAAGAACCAGCCTATCAGTACTGATGGTAAGTGTCTCTGAAGAATGACAAACTGTCGGGTATTTCCGCAAAGTACCCTAACACGTCGCTTGCTTTCAAGTGTCGAGTGATTTCAACTGTCTCATTACGAGATTCGATGAGATACGAACGCAAGTTGATGGAGTGTTAATTTGCGTGTAATCAAGAAAATTACTTCATCGCAGATAATCATTCGGCGGAGAAACGTCAGAGCAAGGACGATCGCACTACCAAAGGACCATTGTTATTCGGCCTCTTTCCGGAAAATATGTATCGCGGCTCTCGGCATCTCAACGCCGACTCGAATCCGGTAACGAGAAGTCCTCAAGCAAATTCCGCCGGGAACATGTTGAAATATCCGGGCGACAAATCTACAGCGAATCTTGCCACGACGATTATAATCAATCCGATGGAGAAGGCGATATCGGGGACTTCTCAGGAAACGGGACGGGGTCAAGAAGACAACAAAGATCAACAGCAGAATCAAACGCCTCTCACAGATACGAAACAACCCTCGATTCCAACACCGACTTCGTCGTCGAACAAAACATCGGATGAGGAATCGGCAATGATCGGCGCTTCTCCTTACTATGACCCGATGCACGGAAAGGAACTCGAATGGCCCATCACGTCATCAGAAATTTATATACCGATGGGATATGATACGTGGAGCTTGACGGGTCTCTACCATACGCCGTATATGCGTAACTTTCCCGATCCCAGGCCGGGTCCTGCGTCATGGAAATTTGAACCACGATATCAGCAGAATGCGCATCAAGCAACGACTAAGAAACCTTCGCTGGTGAGTCTCTATAATGCCGATATAAGTTTTACTTCGTGCACATAGATAGCATTCGTTAAATTCTACTACTTTTTCATTTTCAATTAATCGTTATAACTAAAGGCAGCTTTTGCGATAATATCTGTATGCAAATATCTTATTTACTATATAACATATACACTGAGAGAAAAATATAATTATTTTTGGAGACAGCAAATTTTTTTTTTATTTTAACCACAAAAATAGTAGTAGCAACATGCATGTAAGGTTATTATCACTGACACTATAGTAACATTTACGAAAAAGATAGTTTTCTTGACCATTTTTGTGGTTAAAATGGAAAAAGGATATTGTTGTCCCCGAAAATAACTGGATTTTCCTCTCAGTGTATAAAATCATAATTTTAGAAATCATAAAAATATAATATTATATTGATACGGTATATCATATTTTTAGTCAGAATAAAAATAATCTGTTTTCTTACGTTTAAAAAACCACAGTATAAAAATAAGTCTAACACTTTATCGTCAAATTGTCGATACATTTTCTTGCTTCCAATCGAGGATACTTTGAAGATGCTCTCAGAAGCAAATAACTCGTGTGACGTACAAGATACACTACACGTAATACTTCTGGATATTCTAGTAAACAACGATTAAGATGTTTCCTCTCTTTCTCTTTCTGTTTGCAGAGGTCGCGTAGTAAGCTCAAGGAGCGATTGAAAACCAACCACCTGATCGGCGCATCGAATCCTGACAGCGATTACAGAACTGCGATTCCTTGCAACTCTCCAAGTTACCCTGAATATCCGTTCATCTATGATATTCCGCCAGAAGTGCCCAATACGTACGAACCGATCGTCGTCTCGTATCCGATCGATCCCAACTACAACTACGCGATTTACAGATATAGCGATGCACAAAGTAACCCGACGCCGATAACGGACGTGCAAACCGCGCCGTATGTATCGCGAATGGTGCAATTTCCGAACACCTACAATAACCCGGTGAATACGCGATACATTGCTCTACCGCAAACTTATTATCACCTCAATTCCGCCTTGACCCACGACAGCGCGCCGTTCGAAGGCACATTTTCGTCTCCGACTTATTATTAGTACCAGGCTGCTATTACAGGTACGACGCTGCCCATCGATTCGTACCGCCTCGAAGCAACGAGCCGATTGACCGTATAATAATTTTTCATGATCTATTTATTATATGTACTCTCTTACGCCGCACGCATAATTTTATATAGGCGCGCGCCTCTCATCGAGCTCCGTCCATTCGTTAGTTAGATTTTTCTCAACAGGTTTTCTAAATAAGAATCGTAACATTTCAATTTGTATTGTGCTTTTATATGTATTTCAATATGCACTAAGTCTTCATGTATAGATGCATTTTGATGGTAACGATGTATTTTCTTTGCATCTTTTGTAGTATATTGCGAATTGTAGGCCTCATTGTAAAAAACTTCTTTTAGAATAATCTGCATTTAGTACAATAATACTTAAAAATTTTCATATAACATACGTTACGTTTTTCATGCGAAACTTAGCTCTAATTAGACATACTTACGTGTATAAACTGTTTTAATTTGCTTGTAACAGTACACTCTTCCGAAATAAATGTGATTTAACCAAAATATATGTAATAACAACGAAAGCACAATTAATGGGGGAGAGACCGAAACAACATGGTATATTTTTTTCAGAATTCCGTGAAACACAAAACCAATCTTGTACATACTTTCGACAAAAAAAAATTAATTATCGACGACGGATTTCTACAAGCGGATATATAGACCGGTAATATTCAGATCGTACGTTTAAAAGTACGAACTTTCATCACGAAATATAAATTGAGAGCACTTTCGCAGGTAAACTTAACGATTGCAGCTGGCGAATCACGCGCCAACGTGATGAAACGAAAATTCAATTTCAGACAATTTGCCGGGAGAGTTAATTGAGCCGCGCGTGGAGAGGACCGAGGCGTCGTCCGTCTGCAAAATGTGCGGACGCCCGCCGGAAAAGGAGGGCAAACACCGATCGAGCAATTTCTGATTCACCTCTGGGACATCTTGCTACGATGAAATGCAATTTCTTCGATTCCACGAAAACTCCCCGCCGGAGCGCGCGAAAGTTTATCTTTCGTTAAAGCCGTCGTGTAGAGTAAATATCCGTGTGTTTCACAGGACGAAGAAATCGATCGGAGGCTGCATCTGTGGTACTCGATAGAAAAAGAATCAATCGGAACAACTCGTATCGTGAATTAAACTCAATTTTCAGGACTGGTTATGGCAAACTAACTTGCCCTAATTCTTTCAGCAAAATTTTGATGATCTCTTAATCTCTTATTTATGCAAAATGAGCTCACAATTCTATTCAATAAGATTGCAAAGCTGACTCACGTTATTTATCATCTGATTTATTTAATCTTCCACCAGAAGTAGAATTACTAAAATTACGCAATTAGATGAATACTTTTTGATAGTTAAAAATTATTTACGTCATACACATAACTATGTTCCAGTTTTTTTAATCCTTTACCGTTGATAAAATTTTGTAATTTAAACTCTCATGTCAGATCGTCGATCTGATTCGATTGCAATTTGCCCAATAAAATTCACGTAACCACATGAAGCTTAATTTTTAACCGATTTTGTTTGTCAGAATGCGTTATAAGAAAGAATTAAATGGCAGAGTTTAAGTTACCGCTGTTTGCGGTGCAGCGTGACATTAAACACAGTTAAATAATAATCTCTCGCGTTGTTACGGAATCAATCGATCGACAGCGATCCCGATTTGCCCATTGATCGAGACGCATCGTTGACTCTATCAGACGCACGTGTAATGAGCCGGCGGCCGGTTATAGCAGGTCGTAAACTCGTCGTATAATAACGCGACGAAGTAACGGGGCACTGAGGCGTTTAAAGTGCACTGAAAGTTATGAAACGAGACGTAAAAGGCACGCACCGTGTTTAGCAGCGATCTAATTACTACCGCTGTTGCGCGAACGCATATATATTGCGCGTATAAATTCCGTCGTTCTGAATGTTAATCGACAAAGTATATTCTTCAGACTCGCCGCATTCTCTCGATGTGGCGAATCTTACATCGAGAATAGCGATCGTTTCAACGTGAAACAAAGCGAGAACGTAAAGCGTAGTCAACAGTGAGTAGTAGGAGTATGTTCATAAGAAGTAAGAATAAGAAATTGACCAATCATATTCGAATGTAAGGAGAATAATCGACTGTGATTGTTAATTTCTTACTTTTCCTTCATATAAACATACTCCTACTGTAGATGACGTTTAACACGCAGAACGAGCGCATTTTGACACCACATTGTGCAAGAATCGTCACACGCGGTTGATCGATTCGAAATTTCGAAGAGGAAGTACGTTTACCCGGCGGAAGTTACGAATCGTCGGCGAGCCGTTCCACAACGTTTGCCGTGATAACGACCGCGAGAATCGGCCGTTATTCGCGTAACAAGCGAGTTAGTCCGGCTACAATTAAATATTAATTAACAGTCAACGTGGGGCTCTAATTGTCCGCCAAAATACGTACAAGGCTGTCTACCACACTTCGTATTGCCGGTTTAATGCGTGAGCACGAATTAATTAACCGAGTCAATTCCGGTTTCTCTCCCCGAGATAATACGAGAAAAGAACCGGAGCCGTTGGTTCGTCAAATCTTGATCACGTTTTATACAAGACGATGGAATTACTTCAACAGTCCTGTGAACCATCAGCAATTCAGAATATCCGACTCCATAAATTTTCAATCTCGTTTGAAAAACTTCACCGTTTCAAATATCTCGGCACTTAAAAGCAGGGAACTTTGTAATCAAACCACGGAGCCTCAGCTCTTCTACGAATCTTCTCTCATTTACATCCTTGTATCCTTAAATGCGGAGATCTTAGGATCTCTCGTCGATACTTCGATTCTGCGTTCTTCCCTTAAACGGAGCGCGTCTCCTCGCTGGCTGCCGATTTCATCGGGGATGGAGGAAGCACGACCTCCGTCTCGATTCGTGAGAGCGAAAAAATTTCAAACGCAAAAAGCACCATCGTCTCGTCAGACGAGTTTCAAAGGGAACGTTCGTGACTAGCAGCGCTCGGGCTTATCGCCGAGGAGCTGCATTTAGTCGCCCCCGACCTCAACTTTAACATCTCCTTGACTCTTTGCCGTCGTCTCCCTGTTTCCCACGTCGTTCGCAATTCCAGCTTTCCACCGGCGTTACATCGCACGCATCCGCGCGCGAGCGGACGACAAGGACCGTCCGTTAATTTATACCACAACCCTTGAGGCGATCCAATATAACGGCGTATCCTTCCGACCAGGACGGAATTAATCGGGCATGCAAACGAAGTGCGAAACGGCACGTCGCCCTGCCGACTCTCTCGCTTCGTCTTTCCGCGTCTATCGATTTCTCTGGTTATACCGGATGATAAAAGTCCCTCGTGATCGTGAGGAAATACGGATATGAGATCTGTGATATCCCGCTTTGCTCCAGTGGAACGATGTATTTATGAAGTAATGCCGGGTTGGTACGCGAGTTCTGCCACAGATTACATATTAATGCTGATTACGCATTAATGAAGTAGTGGTCGGAATTATGCATGACTAAAAAGTTACAGTTTATAGCTCGTAGTCGCACTATTAACGACTTTTCGAATAAAATACTTGGGGGATTTTGAATACAACTTTCGAAGCTGGACAGTATGATCCTAATGTAATGATTGCATAAGTCATATAACAGGAAAAGTTAAAAGTCAAGTAAAAGTGAAAATTATATATACCGGAAATTTTTTTCAGCAATGTCTTGGCGTTGCAAAAATTGTTCAGGTTTAGGCTGCCAGAATATTAGTGAAAGATCATCAAGATAACGACGGTGATTACTTGATTGAGGAATAATTTGTTCCTCTTGAATGCAATCAGGCATTAAATTTGGCTCAAAACTTGAATCGAACTTTCTAATTGCCCAATCGACCCAACACGATAAACGTTGTGTCACATGGGATGTATGATTAGCGGCTAAGAGATTACAATAAGCTTCTTTTTGTTGTATTTTAGATGGGTAAAAATCACAAAGGCTATTATTTTTACCCATTTCAAGACTCGTCACGATGAAAAGCGCTGCAACTTTCTTACCGCCACTTACACCGATTAATTAACGAGCATTTCTGTGTGTACCCGATTTGAACACCATTCATAATTAATGCATGCAAAAGCGACTGAAACTTTTACGTATCAGAAGCAACAGCGCAAGAAAGTACTTGAACGCGTAAATCGTCGAAAAAATGCACTTTCGCGTCTTTCGAAAGGGAGAAAATACGACCCGATGTCACGAAAACCGGAGGAGAATCGGCCGAAGAATTTGCATCGCCCGCGGGAAGAAGTCGGTGAATATTGTCGCACGGCACCTATCTCCGTGGGTAAATCAAGCGTCGAGTACCGGTCTCGACTCACGGGGTCAAAGCTGACCCGCTGAATACCTCCATTATAGGATAGCTAATGGTTTCTTTGCGCGCATCTACAGCGAAGAAAGCCTCCTCTGGAAATCCTCTGGAAATCCCGCCGCTGGTTAATGAAAAAGAAACGGAAAGCTTTCGCTCATCCTATATTGCTGAGACAGGTTCAACGTGCCGATTTACCAAACTTAACGTCACGCTGTATACCGTCGCTAAATATCCCGCCAGATTACACCTATCAGCGCTAACCACCTCGTTAAATTGAATTCTCAATGTCAAATAATTCAGCAAATTGAGAATCTTGACGTATGAGTAAAATGGCCTGTGTGTAACAAATCGGAAAACTCGCCTTTCTTTCCACCCGTCGGCGCTCGCTTCCGCATTCTCGTTAAATCGCGAGCAATCACAATAAACATCGCGGGCGATTATTTATGATCGTCGTTAATAGCGCCGTCTGCTAACCTGAAATCAAGCGTCGCTGTATCTCTCATGGTGACTCATCGGCGCATGTAGTCCCGCAGACACGAAATTACCGATGATGCTTCGTACTTACACTGATTACCGGCAATCACCGATGACGTTTGTCACCGTACGCGTGAAACCGTCGTCTTTAGCTATCAGGTCGGAGAAGCTGCGCGA